TAGAAGGTTCAGCCTTTGCTGGTTTTGAATTAATATAGGAAAGAAGATTTAATTTTTGATCACACGTTAGTATCAGGGGTTAGTTTATGAGTGTGAAGTTCTGAACAAGTATAATCAAAGTTTGTGTTTTGTTTCTGCAGCTGCCTTTGAGGCCAGATATGAGGAGGAGGAACAGCTGGGTAGAGGAGGCTTCGGGACAGTCTTTGCTGGCCGCCGCAAATACAACAATCTGCCTGTAAGACACACACACACACACACACACACACAGTATCTATGATTCGTGTGTCCACTTTGTATGTGGTATGAACTAACCAAATGTCTGTGTGACTGTCTCGTAGGTGGCCATAAAACACATTCCCCAGCCTGGCATTCAGTGCACATCATTGGTAATGATGGTTTGTTCTTTGTCCCAGTACAAAGGGAACATATGCACATGTTCCTCTTGTACTTCATATATTCTCACAGCATAGTGTTTATGTGTTCATGAAGGATTCATTGTTTCTTTTCTCCTCCCTCTATGTCTAAAGCTGCTGGGTGGGAAAACTTGCAAGGTCCCTCTGGAGGTGGCACTGCTGCTGAAACTGAAACCAGTAGCTGCAGTGGTGACCCTGCTGGACTGGTACAATCTGGACCATGAGCTGATTCTGGTCCTGGAGAGACCAGTCCCCTGCTTGGACCTGATAAATTATATGAACTCTAGAGAGTCTGCCCTGCAGGAACACGAGGCTAAAGTAAGTAGCTGAAGATGTGTGTGTTTGTGTGTTTCTGTCTGTGTCCAGCATGTCACACAGTCTACATGTCTCTTTCTCTCTCCTGCAGGCTATAACAAAACAGCTGGTGAATGCCCTCATTGAAGTCCACTCCAGAGGTGTGTTCCACAGGGACATCAAGCCGGAGAACATTCTTATTGAAACTGGCTCTGATGTCCCACGTGTCCGCCTCATTGACTTTGGCTGTGGCACATTTCTGTCAGGGAGCAGGTACACTCTAGAAACAGGTAGGCTGCCTTTCTCATGGTCCTGTTCTCTGAAACAACCCAGTGTCTTTGCTGTCTCTGTCCTTACCTCTGTCCCTCACTATTCAACTTTGTCTCTGTGTGGCTATGTGTGTTGTAGGAACCTACCCCTACAAACCCCCTGAGTGGTTCCAGCGTCAGTGGTACATGGCTGAACCAACCACTGTGTGGCAGCTTGGTGTAGTGCTGTTTGAGATGCTGCATGATTACATGCCCTTCAGCAACAGCTCTGAGATCATGACTGAGGAGCCTAATATCTGTGAGGATCTTTCCATCAGTAAGTTGTAAACGCACACAGGCAGTCCAAATAATGACACACATAAACACACATAGAGTACAGTGTTTGTATTAAAACATGTTTCCTGTTTGTTTCCCCAGACTGCAACAGTTTTCTACAACGCTGTCTGACCAAGAGACCAGAGAGCCGATCCACCCTCAGGAAACTTAAGATCCACCCCTGGCTGAAGTGATACAGTCTGGACCCCTGAGGACCACAGATAGATGGTAAACCCCTCTGAGGATAAGGTAAGATACGGTAAGGTATGGTAAGGAAAAACTTTAATGTCCCCAGGGGGGAATTTGTGCACAATTAGTGGTCACTGACAGTTCAGAAAAGTGAATGGAACAAAGGATGATCTGTAACGCTTGGTGCTGCATTTAGGGAGGCAAAACCTCCGCCCTGATGGAAGCATCTGATCTGTCTGCCCTGCTCATCCCTCTGGCTCTGTCGCTCTCTGTCTCTGTTTATTTGTACTGTACGACATCTATTGCACGTCTGTCCGTCCTGGAAGAGGGATCCCTCCTCAGTTGCTCTTCCTGAGGTTTCTACCATTTTTTCTCCCCCTTAAAGGGGTTTTTTGGGGAGTTTTTCCTCATCCGCTGTGAGGGTCTAAGGACAGAGAGATGTCGTACGCTGTAAAGCCTTCTGAGGCAATTTGTGATTTTTGATATTGGACTGTATGAATAAAACTGAATTGAATTGAATTGAATTGTGATTTGTGATATTGGGTTTTATGAATAAGCTGTGAATGTAAACTGAACTGAATTTTCTGACAACATTTTTATTAAAGACAGTGTAAACTTGTTTATTATCCAGTGTCCATTTGCATACATTGTTATTGATTTGGCATGAGCCTGGATTTGTGTGTTGCTCATACGCAGCTGGCTTTACATTTTATCTGGAGCCGTAATAACAACACGTCCTTCAAGCTAGCAGTTGGTAACTTTTATTGAAATAACTTTGTGTCATATTTGCTGAAACTGTCACTACATTCTGAATGAAGTACATGACACAGATAGTCTTTAGAAAAACCTTCTCCCTCCTCCCCTCCTGCCTCTGATGGCATTTGCCAGAATCCGACCATGGTGCGGTCAGCAACAACCAATCAGAGCTGAGGAGTCTGTAATGCATTTAGCTGCCAAACATTACAGTCACTCTGTAAACTGCGGTCAAACTGCCAAACTAGGCAGCGCTGATCAAATATGAATCAAGGTTGTGTTACTGTATTGTCTATTTTCACCTCAAACGTTGTCAGAAACATATTTTGGTGCACTGTTTAGCTGTAAAATTTGCTTGTCGAAGCGAAATTCTGAATTTTAAAATACACAAACACTAATTTGGAAGCGGAGCACTATGGCCACCACAAGATAACGGTTTACCAGCAACCTAGAAGCCCAGCTCCAAGTCCAATAATTTCCTCTTCGTTGGTGTCATGACTGCCCAGAAGTACCTGGTATGTGACGTGTCAGAGGAGAAACGAGCCGTTCACATTTCTCTCTTTGTGGCAGGTAACGGTCCACAAACCTCACCGCACTGAAGGGACTGTTCTTAACTTGTCAGAGGAGGAGGGTGGCTGGTTGATTTTTATATTATTGATTTATTTTATTTTGATCCCCCCTGTAGCCACAGATATTTTTCCTTGAGCTTTTGGAAGTGACTGGTGGAAAATGCATGACCCTTCACCATGAATACGATTTTTAAAATTTAGCTGAGTTCATCCAATGAACTCAGCTAAGCGTGCCAGGCCACCCAACGACAAAAGCCAGTGGACTAAAAACGTCCTTTGTGTCTAATAGTAGAGCAGTCGGCCCAATGTAGCCCTGTGTGTGTGTGCTGGGCCCTTACCACACACATGATGGAGGAGAGGGTGGCTCCAGAGGAGCCTTTGTATTTTCTTGTTTTCCTATTAAATGTGTTATTTAAAATTTTCACTGCACTCCTAAATTTCTTTCTGTGCTCCTAAATGTTTTCAGTTTCAGCTCCTAGTGAAAAAGGTTAGCGTAGAGACCTGGTTAACAGAAAAGACTGGTGTGGGGTCTCTTCATTTGAAGTATGAATAAGTCCATAAGTTATTTATTCCATTGAAATATCATTGATGTATTATAGAAAAGTGATTTATCTTTTTATAAATGACAAAAGGCACATCTGCCTAATTTTTTCTGTGGTACCGTGATACTACTCAGAACCATGATACTTTCACTGGTATCGTGGTATATTTGGTACCGTGACAACACTAGCGGGTAGATTGGCCTAGCCTACTACAAATCACAAGTCAATTTCAAACTAAGAGCCATCTGAATATCCTGGGGCAAGTGCCTTTAAATGTTGGATAATAGTTTTTACATCTGGGCTGTATGATTAAAAAAAAAGAAATTCTGAATATTAAAATACACTAACACTCTATTTCCCTCATTTTGCGAATGAACGAAGTTGAATGTTTCAGCAAAACTACCAAAACAGAGTGCAGTTCATCCTACCTCTTTCCACAATTTATTTTTTTATACCAGCTACAAAGTACTTTCTCACTCTGGAATTGATATAAAATGTTTGGCATGAAAATGACAACCTTAAAAATAGCCAGAGGCCACCGTATTAGTTAATCTGTTATATATAGGATGCAGTAGGCTATATGCATGGACTTATCAGTGTTTCATAAGCAACCGTTTCAAAATTACTTTACAAATAGGCCTACATTATATTTATTGCTCTTGAATTCTACCAAACCGTGGAAGGAATAAATGAATGAATGAAAATGAAAATAAAGAAGTTGCATATAATGAATCATTTCACTTTCACTGTAACAGTGCTGGTATGCTGAACAAGATCTGAATGATACATATAGTACATATTTCACATAGAATCTGAATCTGCACACTACCTTTGAATTGTCCCCCTCTTGAAGTCAAATCTTTTAATCCTCTCTCTTTCTACAAATCTTTAGTGTATTCTTTCCATATTTCGCCCACTTGTTAGCGAATAGTTAAAGAACCTCCATTAATCACACAATTTAAATGTGAAAAGTCTCATTGACTGACCGTCACCTCTGTGTAAATGTGGAGAAGGGGGACGGGCGGAGCTGTGGAAACATCCTGCAGTCCGACATACCATCATGCGTTTGAATAACTTATTAGAGTTCATGAGGAATCATGTGAGGTTATCTGTAAGATATGTATTGTTATGGAATCGGTTACTAAATAATAATAATAATAATAATAATAATAATAATAATAGAATTTAGTGTATTCTTTCCATATTTCACCCACTTGTTAGTGAAATAGTTAAAGAACCTCCATTAATCACACAATTTAAATGTGAAAAGTCTCATTGACTGACCGTCACCTGTGTGTATACAGGTATATCACACCAAATTGTGAGAAAACAAGCGCAAATTTGCAATAGCTGTGACCAAATTTGCTATTATCACTCCATTAATGGATGAATCATGATTGTTCTTTCTGGCATAGTTACTTGTGGTCTCTAATTGCAGCATGTACATTTTGAGCATTTTTGGTCAAGGATTTTTTGAGTTATTCACGAAAAGATTTGAATCGGTTAGTATAGCACCACCTATGGACGAATCATGGGCATTCTTTGTGGTATAGTTACTCATGGTCTCTAGTTGCAGTATGCAAATTTTGAGCATTTTTGGTCAAGGACTTTTTGAGTTATTCACGAAAAGCTTTGTGGACCGACCGACCAACCGACCAACAGAGTGACCTACAGAGTTGCCGGTCGCTGCTAAAAAGAAAAAGAGAAAAGTATTTTCTGTATTTGATAATACAAAATACATATATTTTATTTTGATACATTTTCTGGCACCAGTATTTTGTATTTTACTTTGATACATTTATCTGAGGGGTATTTTGTATTTTGTATCAAAATATATTTTGATATATTTTTGCCTATCTCTGGCCTGTGGAGCGTAACAAAAAGTTCAAGGTGTCGACCTGGCTTCTAAATTTCCCAGGTCCCAATATGTTCAAGGATTCTTGTTGTGTGTCGGTATCCCAGATGTACCCCTAATCCAAGGTGGGGCCATCTCAGAACGGACTTGGCTCTACCTGTCGAGGCATGGACACAGGATATCTGGGAGTGTCCTGCAGTGTCTGGCACCAGTGCGTTGGCAGCAGATCCATTTAGTCCAGTGGGTTGTGAGGTGGGTTAATGGCACGTGCCACAGGTGCTCATTCAGATTGGGATCTGGGGAATTTGGAGGCCAGGTTGACACTTTGAGGTCTTTGTCACATTCCTTGGGCCGTTTCTGAGCGATGATTGCAGTGTGGCATGGTGCATTATCCTGCTGGGGGGCCACTGCCATTAGGGAGTACTGTTGCCATGACAGGGGGTACTTGGTCTGCAATGGTGTTGGACGAATGGTGAGCTTTCAGTCGCTCTGCTCCCAAACTCTGGAACTCTCTCCCCCCGGACCTCAGAAACATTTCAAATCACAACTCAAAACCCATCTGTTCCAAATTGCATATTCCCTTTAACTGCCCACATCCATTTTTACTTTCTGTCACTCTTGTCTGTTGTTTTTATTTATTTTAATTATGACTTTAATTGTGTTTTTAATGCTCTGTAAAGTGTCCTTGAGTGTTGAGAAAGGCGCTTTTAAATAAAATGTATTATTATTATTATTATGAGGGACAGTATGTCTACCGCTTCACTGCAGACAAAGCAGTGGTCTCTGTTATAGTTAAAGAACCATATTGTTTTGGGAATTTTGCATAGGAAGGCAGTAAGAATGAAAACATGAAACCAAAACATGAGGTGGGTGGTTAAACTAAGGATCAAAGGTGCCTTCACCCATGAGAATTCACAAAACGAACCCAAACCAAAAACAACTCTAATGTCCTAGAAGCAGCTGATGCCATGTCCATTGAACATAACAACCTGCTGTCTATAGCCTTGAATTTATCAGACAGTGTGAGAGCCATGTAGTCTAAAGCAGTGTTTAAACTCATGTGGTAGACCCGAAGTCGTAGCCTACGCCGTTGTGAAAATTTGTACTAGTGCGGTGGTGTGTCTGTGTCACAGTTACACATCCAAAAAACTTGTCCGTGGTGGAGGTTTCTGTGAAGTGCTGTGAAGTTTAGTTGATTCAAAACACACATTAAACATGACTGAATAGCAACAATTTCAAACACAAGTACACACATGGGCTTCACTATAACTCGCAGCATTCACAGACAAAGCACTTGTTTTTATCTGGACACATTTTCCCCCACAAATACAACATGCTAATGTTATTAGCACAAGCCTATGGCATTTTACATTGAATAGATTAGCCTAGCAGCTAGCATTTTTTTTCCCCTCTTCTCATATAAAACCAGGGACAACAGCAACTTTTAACAAAGGTAACTTTACATAATTTGGGTCCATTACAACTCACAAGGTTAACAGACAAAACAACACATTTTCCAAACAAATATAACATGCTAACACAATTAGCACAAGCCTATGGCATTTTACATTGTATAAATTAGCCTAGCGACAAGCATAGATTTTCTCTGCTCATATGAAGCCAGGATAAATCCCTGAAGGACTAATAACACACAAGTCTTAAAATGCTATTTTGTGGAGGCTTTACTGTCTTCACAATTTATTGTTTCTTATCCGTGAAATTAAAGTTAATAAAAGTTTCCACTGAGGGAAATGGTCTCAGCTTACAGAAACAGACATAAATTCTGTAGTTACATTTCTTGGGAGGTGCACCTCAGGCTTCTGCGTAGGTTCTGCGTCAACATGGAGCCTACGTCGTAGCCACGGCGTTGATTCAACGCAGAGGTATAAACTCTGCATAACTCTTAAAGCATATTTTTCAAAAAATGTCAAATCCTTTGATCAATTTGACAAGGCATTAGGCACCAAACGGGCAGCAGCAGCCCTAAGGTCTTCTGTGACATTTTGACATTTTTATCAAAATTTGAATATAATTCCAAATCTAAACAGCAGGGGGAGAAAGAGGTCTCCCTGAGTTTTCTGGCCAGGCGAAGCTGTACATTTCAGTGAAAGGATAATTACCATCTCTCCACACACTCACAGCAATGGTGTTGTTTGAGGATGCATGAGTGTAACTCACTGCAGTCATCTGCCACAGGCAATGGCATGAGGAATTTCAGTTAGACCAGAGATGCAAGTTTTGTGTCAGCGGGACAAGATATGCATGAAGAACAAGGTTGCATAGTATGCATATATATGTATAGAGCAGCTGTTAGACAGGCCCGACTCTAAATTGGTGCCTTGAGAGTGGGAGGTTGAGAATTTGCTGTTTTATAGTAGTTCTTTTATTACCTATGTAATACCTGTATTACCTAATTCCCACAGGTTTTACGGAAATTTAGTGCAAGTGAAACTAAGGCTCAGCAGTCATATGCTATTAAAATGTAAACTGAGCATAAAGTTAATTCCTGACATTATATCATTATTCATTTTTCAAACGATATTTTTGTATTAATTAGTAAGTGGGGTGTTGAGAAACATTTGTCATACAACTGCATTTGTAGGTTTTAACTCTAGTGCATTTCTTCCAAACAGAAAAGGGCTTAAACATTTGAGAGCAACTTTACAAACTAGAAATTAATACATATA